GGGCTCTGTGCAGTGCTGCTCCTTGAAACGCTAGAGCGGCACTTCGAAGAGGCAGCGCAGCATTGATACCTGTGATTAATATGTTAATTTTTTAAACACATTAATCCTGCCCTGAACTAATTGCAGGCATTATGCAGATAAATTGTCAGCCCTAACAAAATTAAATAATGAACTAATAACAATAACAGTATTTCAGGGCAGAAGCCAACCATTATCTGTCTGGAGATGGAAAGAAATGTCTTCTATCATACGGTTGTTCAATAACTGTCCACTAAGGAGACTGCACCTGCCTCTGAAGAATATGGTACTGGCCACTGTCAGACACAGAATATTGAACAAGAAGGACTCTGATCTCATCCAACTTAATGCTTTAGCTAGATACAAACACAAGTGATTGGTTTGCAATATAAAGACATTCTGACTAGATGACCTAATCTTGTCCTTTCTGGCCTTAAACTCCATTTTTTCCTCTTATGTTGTCATTTGTGGGTTTTTTAATCTCTGTATTTTTTCACAATGCAGCAATAGCCTATCTGGTAATGACAAATACAAAGGAAAACAGCTCCAGCATCTGCATTATGCTTTGAGAAACCTCCACTGTATAAAGTGATGTAAAATATGCAGATACATGTGGTATTTGAGGCCACAACAGCAGGTTTTAGTACGAGGTCAAGACTTATGCAAAAACAAGCCTCAGTGTGTGCTTCCTAATTACAGCTAATTTATGGGGAGGATTATGGCAAGGTGAAAAAACCCATATATTGCAGCCTGACATGGCACACACAGAGAGATGTATATTGTATATATTAAATCTGGATATGCGTAACATCTATGAGATGTGTAAGGTCACGGCATGATGTCTTTTACTGTCATTTTAGATTTTCAGATACACGTTTCCCTGAGTTTTTTGTTATACAGCGAAGATGAGCTGGAAAGCAACAACTGAGGTACTGCCAGGCTCATAGAAAGGAAACTTAAATTATTACTCCCTTCAAGCCAAATGAAGAGAATGATTCCAGAGACACAAACAGTTGTGGAACATCTCATACTACGCACACAACTTTTTGTCTCTCTCAGTAGATTTAAACAAATCCAGCCCCATCTTCCATAGACACCTAAGATCCTCTAACAGCATAACTGGTATGGTTCAGCTTCTTATGCTGCTGGATGTAGGCCTGGAAAAGCCTCCTAAGATCCTCTGACAGCATAACTGGTATGGTTCAGCTGCTTATGCTGCTGGATGTAGGCCTGGAAAAGATGATGCACCCAAGAGTATGCTGATTGTGCACCCTGGCCAGATTCACAGTTCCAGCAGACATTTGCTCAGTACAGGAATGGGCAAGATGGGGAGGAAGAGTTTTATTGTGTCTTTGCGTTTCCTCATTCTCAGTGTAGCCTGCAGCATAATTTAGAGTACCTTCATGAATTTGTAACTTAAGCTTGGCTTATAACAACCCCAACAGGGCTATTCCTTCAGACAAAAATAGATAAAAGTAGCTCAAGTGAAGAAATACATTAGCTAATCCTATGCCTGAGACACAATCCCTACTTCTGGGGCTATGAAAGGGTCTAGGAAAAAAAAGGCTATGACGTGTATTTTCTAAGTGGTATTTTCTAGAGGCCAATTCCACTAACTTTATGGCCTCTTTATACCACATGAGTAGGTATAATGAAGAATTAAATACAGTGGAGAATTAAAACCCCTCAAGACGACACCTCTGGTTCCACGATAGTTGAAAGCACGATGCAGCCCAGACCAATATTGCAAAGTGAGTTAAATTCAGGTTTCCTGAATGTTAAAATAATATACCTTTATTCATAACCAGAGAGGGAGAGAGAGCTCACAAATGAAGGAGTAATAAGAAGCCAATTCGGGCCTTGATCCAAAAAGGTAGCTGCACATCCTTACCTTAGTTTAAGAACATAAGTACTTCCATTAATTTCAATGGGATTACTTGCATGCTTGACCTTCAACCAAGCTTAAGTACCATGCTGAATCAGAGAAAAGCACTGATGCTAGTTTGAAGGACTGCAATATTATTTGATTTTATTATAACTGGATTTCATAGTTATAGTCAGATTTGCAGGATCTTATAACTGAACTATCCAAGACTAGCTGCAGTGTGCTTTTAGTCAAGTGTCCACATCTATCAACTCTGTGCTAACAGCTCAGCACAACCAAAGTTTGGCCATTTTCAGTGATTGATTTAAAGCTCACTTGCTCATTCAGGCCTGTCATCATGTAGTTGACTATGAACATTGTAAGGGGTTTGGGAATGATTTTACTAACTCATCTATAGGTCTTAAATGCAAGCTGCTCATACACTATGGCTATAGGTACCATTTAATATAGGTATGGACAAAAAGATATATGTCTATGTAGGTCTGTTGTCTAGCTAGTCTAGTATTCCATCTAACACTGCCAGTACCAGATGCTTTAGGGAAAGGTGCAAGAAGTCTTTGAGTGGGACATATCTAATACTGCCAGTACCAGATGCTTTAGAGAAAGGTGCAAGAAGTCTTTGAGTGGGACATCAATGTTTCCACTTACATGAATACCATCAGTAAATATTTTTAGGAACAGGTCTTAGTGTAAGACAACATGAATATTATATATATAGTACAGATAATGCACTTAAAAGATAACTTATTAATGTTCAGATTACACTGTTTTATCAGCACCATTAAAGATAGCAAAGAACAATCATAAATTTGTGTCTTGGTCATCTAATACTTTTCCAGTGTGAAGAGTCTTGTCTTTAGACATAATGATGCAATCAATTCTGGAAGCATAGCTAAACCTTTGTTGTGTATTTCTCAAGGTGAAAAGTCACTAATTATTTGACAAACAAGAAGTGACTAAAGGGTATAATGGATTTACTGTCAGGAAGATGAAAACTGATCTAATTTAAGTGAAGCCTAAAAGTTATAATCTGAACTGGTATGATTTAATCTGAGAAAAGGTGAACACTACACTTCAGCTATAGTAGTAAGGGTATTTCAATTCTGCAAGGTTACCTTTTATTCATAAATTATATTTTCTCTCTAAAGCCTTAATTCCTCAAACACATGGTTAACTTTAAGCATGAGTAATCCTATCCCTGTATAGCAAAGCATATGCTTAGTGCTTTGGGACCTGTTCCAGATCCCATTGTCTCCAGTCAGTGATGAATCGGGACCTTGCTGAATAGTATAGATTTACTCACGTGCTTAAATGCTTTGCTGAATCAGGGCCTAAAGTATGATCCTGGTTGGTTCTGATCACCAGCAGCTCACACTGGGATCAGATGGCCACTTTTTAAAAAGAAATGTAAGATTGTGGTAGAATTTTGGTAGAACATTACTTACTGTTTTGGGTTTTTTGTTTGGTTTAATATTGCACACCCTGACTCCGAATGGTAGCCAGCATTTCCTAAAGTCAGGTTTATATTTCTGTGCCATACAGTCAAGATTTGCAGTAGTGAAGGGTGGCAATATTTCTGTTTCCTTAATGCTAAATAAACAATTGAAAGCAAATATCTTGAGTTACAAATGAAAGCCACCAGTTAAGGAAAATTTCACATTGGGGGGCTGTTCTTAGATAATTGTCTTTTCAAAATCTCATTATTGTGATTTTTGAGATGTTGGAATGGAGGAAGAGAAAGAGATAATTTTCATTTTTCTAATTTTTAAACAGCATTTCTATTTTGTTGTGTAGATTGATCTATCTAGAGCAGCTACTTCTTCTCTGACCATTACAAATTGTCCCTTGTATTTCCAGCTGAGCTGGTCTGAAGATTAAGGTCAAAACTCTCAGCTCTGATCCATCTTCCTAATGTTTCTTGATTCCCTGGAGATTATCCTGCCAGAACTCTGCAGGAGTCTTGTGGGGGAGCCACGGGTGTTACATTGCTTTCCCCTCTTCCTTCAGGTAAATCCTTATTTGTAGATGGCCAAGATGCTGCAGTGCAGAGATGTGTGTAAGCGAGGTCTGAATCAATGTGTTCATTACAGCCAGAAGGAATGGGAAAGAAATCCCGGGTGTGTTTAATGTAATGTTTTGCTCATTATAATCAACTTGGCTGGTGTAGGGTCACAAATTGTATTAATACTAATTGCAATGTTTGTAATTATTGGGGGAATGTAAAAGAAGAAAGTCTGTGCTTAACCTGGCAGATACTCCCAGTTTAAAGAATGACATTCTGGATGTGTGCATGTAAATACAGTTCACTCAGTTTGCTTATGTCTGCTAGATATTCAACTGCTACAATAGTGTTTTGCTCATTGTAACCAATTGGCTGTTGTGGGGTCACAAATTCTGTTAATACTAAATGCAGGAATTGTGAGATAGGATATATGCTTGCAGTTACTGTGGGAATGCAGGAAAGTCAGACTGTGTTTAACTTAATCCAAAAGGAGAGATTCTGTCAGTGTAAATACACTTGGATGGACAGAGGCTCAACTTCCAGAGCCCTATGAGATTAAGCTCGGGAGGGAGGACACACAAATGATTATTATTATGAACAATAACAACTTTAACTATGGATATGGAAAAGTGATTTATCTGTGATACCAACAAACTCTAATCCTGCAAACACTTACTCCTATGCTTAAGTGTTTGCAGGATACTGTTGTAAGTTATGAGTAATGTAGGATTGCAAAAGACCTGCAAATATCTTACACTGTGGTCTGTTTATGATAAATCATTTTTCGAGTTTAATGTAAATGCAGAATAGCAAAAAAAGCATGTACAATAAGAAATGACACACTTGTACAAACACAAGAACAAAGACTAACCAAAGCAAAGAAAAACACCAAATAATCATTTCATTAAAACTGAAAAAAACACATGTATTAAAAATTAACACTGCCAACTTTTTAAATTAAATATAATACACTTTATTTTGAAAGAAAAGATGCACTGTAGTAAGCTGTTCACTCTGATCATTGAATTATTTCAACATTGTAAAGTCAATTAACAATTCAGACCAAATACTGACTGCTGAAGTATGCAACCTTACCTTCACCTGCATATGCCAGAATAGAGCGGGATCGCATCTGTTTTCCTTCTGTGGTTTTGCCTGAGCAGGTGTGAGAGCAGGAGGACCATCCAGACCACATGCTGAGCACACAATCCTTTGGGCATGGAACTTCACAGACAATGGGAATTGGATAGATAGCATCTCTACACAGCTGTCTGTCAACCTCTTCTCCTGGGAAAGAAAAGGCCAGTAGCAGTCTATCATTGTTAAATTAACTTAAAATGAGCTATCTAGCCCAGATGGGCACACAAATAAATTAGATTCTGTTGTAGTGTAAAACCAAAGTAAATAAATTACTCATCAGAATGACTGTCTTCTATGGCCTGATATTAAAAGAACATGCTACAATTCTCAGATGTACTTATGTAGCAGAATTTGAACTCTGCTGAAGTGAACTTCGATATGGGTGGCTTTTGTTATCTTCTCACTTGTCACAGCTACTGTAAATAAATTGTGAGTATGTGATACACATGAATAAAATATGGTATATACTCAAATAATTTAAGTATAACTGAGACAGGCAAGTGAACAAGCTGAGTTTGCAGGGATTTCAGGAAAAAAATAATTTTCAGTTCATGGATTTTTTTTCAGCCGCTAGATTTTAATATCCACAACTGAAAAGAAGAAAAGCAAAACAAAAATCTTTCCATTTTAGTTGAGTGTCAAAATGTGTAAAGTGTTTCCAGGCCCGTACGCAGAAATTTCTGGGGGGGGAAGAGTGCTTTTTTTGGTAAATATGGACTGCAAGGGAGTGAATGCACCCCCAAGTAAGCAGGGAAATCAGCCCCAGCCTTCTCCCAGCTGGTCAGAGCATGGGAGAGGGAAGCTCAGGCAGCGTACTGACTCCTGCCTTTTCCTTGCCGGCCAGAGCATGCTTACTTGGGGGACCCTAAGGGGTGCTTTTGCATCCTTCATATCCTCCCCCCTTCATACAAGCCTGCTTCAGCAGGCTGGGAACAAAGTTCCTTATTTGGTTCTAAGAGTTCTTTGTTAATTAGCAGGGCCAACATCTGTCTTTGGCTACACCACAAACATATATAGTATTTTGGGGTTCTCTTGGGTCAAGCTGAAGTGCACATCTAATTATATAGGAAGAGAGTCACTAACGGAACATATTTCAAGGAAATAGAGAGTAGAGCTCCACTAGGAGGATTACATTTAATGTCGGGAAGGAAATGAAGTGCTCCAGTTAAAATTAAGTATCTAAAATTACAGAATGGACAAAACACTAGCTATTTACTTTACAATAAGGAACACAGCAAAAAATAACTGGGCCGAAAATCTAGCTACAATGATCCTATTCTAGATCCATGGTCTTTATCTGTACTTTTATGTAAGATTTGTAAATAAAACCTTCTTCCAGTGAACTTGAGAAGAAGGGGCTTCCTGGTACAGCCCTGTATGCTAAACCAGCTATTGAGAAAAAGTCCAACCTTACCACTGAGGAAAAAGCAGAAGCTATAGGGGCAAAGGACAGTACAGAGGGGTCTTAATGGATGGAAGATCCTGGCTTCATAGTGCGGTAAAGAATGAAGTCCAGGGGAAAGGTACATGAATGGTATCAAATGAGTAAAAAAATTACCAAAACATTTCACTAGTGGTAACAGAAGCATATTTCTCCTGAGGGGAAATCCTCATATTAAGCATCACAGGAAAACCAGGAGTTAAGCAGTATGGGACCAATATGGCTATGTCTACACAGCAGCGTTATTTTGGAATCTACACATCAAGCCCATTATTTTGAAATAAATTCGAAATAACAGGCTTCTTACTCCGACTTCTGTAAGCCTCATTTCATGAGAAATGGGGGAAGAGTATTCTATTTTGAAATAACTGCTGTGTAGAGTGTGCCAAAAGTTGAAATAAGCTATTTTTACTTAAGCTGTGCAATTAGCATAGCTCAAGTTGCGTGGCTTATTTTGAGTTTTGCCCTGCTGTATAGCCATGCCCTATGATTCCTCTAAAGACATGGCCTTGTCACCATAACATGCATGTATCAAAGAACCAGAACCTAGTTACAGAAACCACTTTCAATAATTCTGGGGACTAGACTGGACAACCCGCAATTCCAGAGTGTCGGATTTTGGAGGTTTCTTTCACCATTTATAACCCTGTACTTATATGGAAAGATCAGCCTCAATGTCACTTTAACACAGTGGTCCCCAACGCGGTGCCCGCTGGGCCATTTCTGTGCACCCGCCGAGTGATCGGGACCAGCCCCGCCACCAGGCACATGGCACAAGGGCGCTACCAGCCTCTGGGTGCATTGGCAGCGCTGGCCCCGGGCGCACAGCACATGGTCAGTGCCGGCCCCAGGCACGCTGCGGTTAGGTGGCCTCACCCCCGGGTGTGCGTCACAAGATCTGTGCCAGTCCCGGCCCTGGGTGTGCAGCGTATGGGCGGTACCAGCCCAGATGCGCAGCACAGGGGCGGCACCAGCCCCGGGCACGCAGCACATGGGAGGCCCCACCCCTGGGTGAGCGGTGTTAAAAATAAAAAGCACACCAAGTATGGTAAAGTTCAAGCAAGGCAGGTGAAAAGAAAATTAAAATATTGGAAATGCCTACAGATTTGGGACAAACCTGAATTAGAACAATCAACATTCACCTTTAAAGACCTTGTCTTAAATACAGTCACTTTTCAGTTTAATTTTCAATGGGTAATTGTATAGATTACAAAAACAATCAATACACAATGTGAAATAATTGACAGCTACAATTTCCTAGCTTTCATACCAGTAACTATTTAGATTCCTCCCAAATTCTCCAGATGAGGAAAAATCCTGTAGGTATAGTACCTAAAATCCTGGCTTTATAATTACAATTAGATTTTTCACATACCCAGGTGGCATAACAAGACCAACCAAACAATTTATTGTAGACCTGGGGTGAGCAATGATTTCTGAATGGGGACCACCTCACAAATGTCTGAAGTAGTCACAGGCTGCCTGGAAGGGATGAGGCCTTGAGTGGAAGGGAAGGGGGCCAGGAGGCTTCCCTCACCCACAGACTCTAATTGGCCTGGGAGTGGGGGAGCATGTGAAGTCTTTGCCCCCATACCCCTGGCGCCTAGAAAGAACTGCCAGCTGGTTTGAATGGCTAGCAGTTCACTCTAGCACTGAGTGCCCCTAGCAGAAGGAGGAGACTTCATGTGCTGCTCCTGCCCCCAGGCCATTTAGAGCCTGGGGGCATGGGAATGTGCAAACTCTCTCACCCTCTGCCCCTGGCTGGGGCGTGCGGTGCCTAGAGAGAACTGCCAGCTGTTTTGAATAGCTGGCAGTTCAGTCTGACACCATGCGCTTTGGGTGGCGGGAGGAGACTTTGCGTGCTCCCCATTCCCAAGTCTCAATTGGCCTGGGGGCATGGGAGTGGCAGGATGGCTGTGAGCCAGATCAACCAGCTTAGCGGGCTGGATCTGGCCCACAGACACTGCCTTGCCCACCCTTGGTGTAAACCGTGGCCTTACACTAACTTTCCCCTGCAAAATGTACTGTTGCAATCAATAATGTTGAACAGGGCAAAGAGAGATACATTAAAATTGTGATAGAATGCATTGTAAAGAATAGAAGTTCATTATACTTTGCACATTCAACAAATGATTTCTGCCCAATAACAAACCAGACAGCTGCTAGAGATGGAAACACTTTGCCAGCTCATTTTCCTCCCATCTTACTCTGACATTCTCTGATGTACTGAATAAGAGCCTAGAATGAGAGAGACCTCACACTGAGACTGAAGGTTCATTTGTGAAGTCACCTTTTTTTCTTATATAGCATTGACGGAGGAAGGCTGTCACTCCTTCACGGTACATGTCTCTAATTAAAATCCATGCACTACAAGCAGAAGTTGACCCAATTTTTATTCTGGGAGGGGTAGTAGAGAAGTTAATCACTGGAAAACTAATCAAAATACATCACTGTAGACAGAACAAAAACTATTTACCTGAAATTTGTCATTATTTATAGTCCTCTTGGACATACTAGCCTTTTAAGGAGGAGTTTGGAAATAAAACACAGCATGAAACAAATTCTGAACTCTTGTTCTTTTTGCTCTTACCAACTCAATAATTTCCATGTAGTAAATATTTTTGGTTAGTATACAAAGAATTATAAAATCTTTTGTTTACTTCAGCAGCATTTACAAGCTCCAGACAACATTTGTTCCTATTTTTCTACCTCAAAATCTGAGAATCTAAGGCAGCTCTAATGTCAATAAAACAAAACTGGAGAGTCCTACTAACAATAGAAAAACTCTTCCTCTGTGAAACTCTTTTCTATTCCAGTTCTTGAATGAATACTAGTATGACATGGAATAAAATCTCTGTCTAAATGACATACACAGACAATTTTCAGCAATTTTGTGGATCTTTGACTAAAGTAGATATGTTCTATACACTATACCCTGATTGCCTTCTTGGTTTTTAGTGATAGCTGGATGAGAAGTTAGTGGACATTATTTCTTGATATTTTTCCCATAAGTTGAAAATGAGTGACCTTGAAAATTTCTCCACAGTAATACATCAGAAACACAGTTTTGATACTATTCTGTACAAATAAAAGAAAGAAAAGGAAAAGTCACAACTGAACTCAAACAATACATGACAAGTGGTATAGTTCTAATGGGAGTCCATTCCCAATTGTCAACATGACCTGGAGCATGGCAGGAGTTTCACCCAAATTAGTTTTACTAGCTAATAAGAAAATATCCATTTTAGTTTTCTTTACCAAAGGAATCATGCAAATCTTTTCAGGTTCATGTTATTGAATAACTCTGCTGAATTGATTTATCAACACAATTATTGTAAAATTGAGGATCTTTATGGTGTAACATTATGTAGCTATTTGCAGAACAGTTATAGTGCTTTTGCAAGCACTAGTAGCAACAATAGTTCTTGCATTCTAATTTATTCTTAGGTGATGCTGTTAGCTGTGTGTACTAAATCAGTTGCTAATTCTCTAACCACAGGCCTCTCCCTCAATTGCTTACATTACGTAGCATTTGCATTTAATTATGTCTCAATTAGTTGATAGTTAATATTCGTGAAGTCATTTTCTTTTAAGTAGAAATGGCACTGATTTGAATGAAGACCAATATTCACATGTTTCTCACATCTACTGGTGATGCTGAGGTCTAAGAATGTTTCTCTTAGGGTGCATCTACACAGCAGGGTTT